CGTGTGTGTGTGTGTGTGTGTGTGTGTGTGTGTGTGTATGTGTGTGTGTGTACTCACGCAATAAGGAATGCCACTCCCTTGTTCTCCACGTGCATCTTATTGAACATTATCTCCCCTGTGTCTTTGATCAGGTTCCGGTCTTGCGTGGTGAGATTGCTGTTACTGGCGTCCAATGGTTCAACGGGCTCGTTGAATGTCATCACCACCTCCGTCTTCTGAGGCGACTTATCGCCCTTGTCTGAGGACAAACAAGAGATTCTGACAGAGTCTCGCTCAACCAATGTTGTTTGTAATAAGATTACAGATTAGATTAGATTAGGTTAGATTAGATTAGATTAGGCATACTTTATTAAGCCATTGGAGAAATGTTGGTGCATAATACCAGAATACCATATGCAAAGATTCAGCATCAACACAGAACTGCTCTCAGTACAGTTATATTCAGTGATACACATGCAACGATGCTCAAGTCAGTCACACTCACACATTTGTATCCAAAAAGGTGTGTCCATGAGCATGGACTCTATTTACTTTCGCTACGTCTATCGCTCAGGGTAAGCTGAATCATGCATACTAGTTTGAGATCGTCTGTCAAGAAGCAAAGGGCCATACATTGAAAAATGTACTTTAACTTAGCAAGGTGTAAAATGTTGAAATTAATGGTTAGGGTCTTCGCCTTTGTCACTAAAGGTACGTCGGATTCCCAAAAGGAAATCTATATCATTGATCACCTACGTCTTTGTATTGATGTGTTGGTAAACTTCTGTAAAACTCACAATACGTGAGTTTGATTCCTGAACGGGGAAGTCTGTTTCATCAAACATTTCCGCAGTTCTGCTGATGTATTGTACATTGTACAACACTCAGTCCGGTTTGGCAGACAAAGTCAAAGCAGTCGGTATCCTAAAATATCCGTATTGAGTCTTTGTGGGCCTAAAACATTTGTAAATAATACAGTTCAAATAGTCAGTTCGGCTTGTTACCCATTACACACACACACACACACACACACACTCTCTCTCTCTCTCTCTCTCTCTCTCTCTCTCTCTCTCTCTCTCTCTCTC